ACCAACAGAAAAAAATAAATGTCAAAGAATAGAAATGTCTCATTTTCTGAACTTTATTTATTTAAGTCTGGACAAAGCAAGGCGGTTTAGGAGAATGAGATGAGACAAATGAAAGCACTCAGAGCAAATCCCAGTATCAGACACTGCCTTACACAGTTTAAGAGATAGTATTGATATTTTGCCTTAATTACACTACACAATAAAATAGGAATAATTCCTACTGGTATATTCTACTGCTACTTATAGAATTAAATTGCCATAACAAGGCCTGGCCATCATTTCTAGAGTTAAGAGTAAGTCCGAGTTGCCTTCAACCCAACTTAGCATGCACCCAAGGAGCCTTGGTACTCCAGGAGTTCCCAGAAACTCCCTGTCATGGACTCTGTGATCAAGGTTTCCCTGGAGGTCAAGCCATGCAGGCCATGCTACCCTGAATGCTTTTGAATTTGCTGATCACCATAGAGGGCTTTACCCCAGCCCCAGAAGACCATGCCACACACATTCATGCCACACATATTCATGCCACAGACATTCAGGCCACAGAACACGAGTGCCCCTGGGGTGTGCAGCAGCACCTCCCTGCCTTCCCAGCTTTAAAATTGCACTCCATTTTCTGTTGGACACTTGCACTGCACAGTGAGCTCACCCTTAGGTAACAGCTTTTCTGAAGGTAGACTTGGTGATTTCAAGCAGGAATTCCCAAGGGAAGCAGATGCTCTGCCTGGGGGAACAAAAGTCAGGTCCTGGATAAGTGGTATGCATGGTCCTCAGACTGGGATATTTGTCTTCTGGTATTTCATTTCAGAGTGCACATCTGTGATTAATGACAAACATGTTATTTATTTTAAAGTGTCAACAATACTAATTGAGATTCAGCAGATTTTTGTAGGATATTATTTGAAGCTGGTTCTAGGTTGCATGTGTTGTAGAAACTCTACATTTCTTCTGAAACTATAATGGAGTTCAAATGTAAATATCTTCAGAATATAATTAGGACCACCTGGGAGAGGGAATTGATTTTGAAAACATTTTTGCTGGAAAGGAAACCAAATTCACTCTTGGGAGCAGGGTCTCTCATAGTGTTTCCTTTTCCTCTGAAATAATAGTATGAAGTAAAGCCATTCTGGGAAGTGTCAACAAAAACTTAATTTGATGTACAAGGGCTGAAAAGCCAAAGCTGGAAGAACCATGGGACAAAAATGTGTTTACACAGATGCTGGATTTTCTCCAAAACCTAAGAAAATAGTGCTAAATCCTCTCAGGGCTGAACAATGATACTGAAATTAGGCATCAAAGAATAATTAATATATGTTAACTTGCTCCCATTCACTCTCACACTGGCTTTTTTCCCCCCTACGATCACAAATAATCAACACAGTGCAAAGGTTTCTAACCCATTCATTGTGCCAGCACATACTCAGGCAGGGAAGGAATCACCAGCAAAGGTCTGAGTGGAACTGGTCTGCATCATGGCTTTTATTTTTCTTAAACTATTTTATGTAGAATATAAACAATATGACAATATGGCACTTCCTTCAAAGAAATTAGTTTTAAGCATGAATTTTTTGTGTAAATTCTGAAGATATCTGAGCTGGAGACTTATCCTCTGGTAACCAGCTCAGGCACAGACTGACACCCCAGGCTGAGCTGAAATGGGGCTTCTGGGCAGAGACCCAGGTTTCTCTTAGGACCCTGAGAAATATTCACAGGCCACTTATTTTCAGCATTTCACCTTAATAAGAGTTACTTTGAATGGACTGCTTTATGAAGCCACAGAATTCATAGGACATAATATTACCTAGAAGTAGATAAGGTGGTTTATGCAATACTAGATTTTTAAGTCTTAACTTGAAAAAAAAAAAAAAGAGTGCCTATTCAATGATTCATTTGCTTTTCAGATCTTTGAGTCTCAGTTAATATAGCCCAAGTGGCCAATGGCAGAGCGAAACTGCCTTCCTACACTTGATCTTCACACCTGAAGAAATAAGCACTCTTTTTTCTGGACAGCTGACAGCTATCAGTCAAACCATATTCTCAGAAAACTGAGAGGTTTCCTACCATGGACTTGTTTATTAAAAAACTTTGATATGGAGGGCATGTGTGAGGTCAGAAGGGGAGAGGAAGAGGAAAAGCCAGTGTTAATTGCAGAGATTGCAGGCAGAGTAGGATAACAATTCTGAAATAAATCATAATACCAAACCATAACAGGAAAATCCTTAATAGTCTGAGCATTATCCAGAGCCAGTACACGCTCCACAGAGCACAGTGCCATTTCGTTAGTGTTCCTGGAAAGCTCAAACAAGACACTTCCCTAATGTGGTGGAATATCAGATATAAATTACTCAACAACTTCATTTTCTACTCCTTTATCCCACTTCACTACCAAAAAACTCCACCTGCCCACCCACTCACCAGCAAACAAACAAACACATCAACAGCAGCCTCTTCCTTGTAAACAGCAGAACTATACCAATTTGAGAAGCCAGTGAGATTTAAAGATATAAATGGGATACTGCCCATAACTTTAAATGAGTGTGTTTTGGACATGGAAAGTGCTTCTCTTTGAGCACGTTCTACTTGCAGCTTCCTTTGCTAAACATCATTCTTTCATCCCTCCAAAGTACTTAAAAAAAACATGCACTAAAATGTGACAACAAAGCTTGTCTCCTCATTTATTTCTTTAGCATTTTAAAGCAGACCTGGCTGGATAATGCACAACTTCTTCTTTTTCAGTTCTACTCAGAAGCCTTATTTTCCGCCTTCATGTGTGATACAGTAAAGTACAGCTATTCAAATGTCAGGAAAATTGGTTACTTTGCACTGATGGGAATATTGCGTGTATAAACTCACCAAGAGTGAAGCTTTTTCCTAGTATAATAAATAATAGGAGGAAACTGGGAACTAAATATATTTTCAAGTCCTGAGCATTATAAATGTTAGCTTGCAGTATTATAGAACAATCGTCATTTTTAGTGTGTGGTCTAATCTAACACAAACAGGTTGTATACATGGCAGTTCTGGGTCACAGTACACTTACATTGGAGCTGCTGGCAGCTGAGGCTGGAGCTAACATCAAAATAAAGCAAACAAATATGTGAGATTAAGTAGTTCTGGAGAATTAGCTCTAAACAGTTCCAGTGTCCTCTTGATCTGCCTCCTATCGTTGGTCAGCTTCTGTGCCTAAGATAACTTGTGTCTGCCAAGAACTCTCATAATGTTTTACTTCTATTTAATGTCAAAGTGTCACTTCCATGAGCAGTCTTTCCATCATCAAGGTACTTTAATGATCCATCTCCTTCATCAGGCCACCTATTTTCATGACATTTGTGGAAGAATAGTTTTCTTTGGGACCTCTAGGCTCTACTTCACATGTGGCTGAATTTGGAGAGCACAGATACACAGACTTTATAAGCCTTTTTTGCAAAGGAAATCACTCTAAAAAGACACTCTTCTGCCTTTTGTTTTACAAGAAGTGATCTCATTGTAACCAAAACGGATGTCCTAGAAAAGACATTGGACTGTTTTTCCATTCAAATGGAAGATAAACAATTAACACTGCCCAGGATCAGGAGTAAACAAAGCATGGCTAAGTGAGGGACCAGTGACCTCACAGGAGGCTTAATGCCCAGCTGAGAGCAGCAACACTGTCTCTTTAGGAAGGGAGGCAGGATTTTCATATCATGCCTGTTGCTGTATTTCTGATCTGAAATTTGGTAGGTCCCTTATCAGAGCAGTTTGTTTTCCATCTTACTTCTGTGGGTAGATTCCTTCTAATTCTAATGTCTGTGTAAGACTGCACCCTCTATCTTTGGGGTTCATATTAAAATGAGGACAAATACTACTACAAAATGATATGGAAAAGGACAACCCAAAAAGGAGTCACAGAAAGAAATTGCAAGAAATATTCTCCAGGTAGAAATACTTTCAGATGACAGAGGTAAAAGGGATGACAGTGTAAGCAGTCATAAAATTATGGAAAAGATAAATGATCCAAAATGATGGGAAAAGTCACTTTCCATGGTTCACAGAATGAACACAACATAACAGATTTTTCTATTTGAGTGAGCTCAGTAATATGATCCATGCACTGAGCAGCTGAAATCTCAGAAGCAGGAATTGATTCTGCAATGAGAGATGCAGCAAACAGGACCTGTGCAATTGCATGATCCCCCAGGCTCCTGAGTTCATGGAAACCTTCCTGTCACCAAATGGTTTCACTTTTAGGACATGCTTGTCTGGTATCACAGAAATTCACCTAAACCTTTTAAATTTTTGTCTCATCTGACATCTCTTTGGCAGAAAAGTAGCATTATAGGCTCTGTTTCCCAACCAGTGTAAAAGTAATACTCAAGACACTGATATTTCTGATTATTTATTATGGCACTTCAAAGCATATATGCTCCATTGCTAGGTGTTTCAAACAAGTTTAAAAAAAAAGATGAGGTTTGAGGTTTTAGGCAGTATTTCAGCAATTTTGGTTAAGAATTTTTAGAATGCTACTAGATATTGCAATAAGAATTTCGCTAGGAAAAGTCTTCTTAAAATAAGGCTTCTTTTCAAGAAAGTGTGTATGTGCTTGCTTAGATTTATCATGCTCGTTGGCTTACTGGTATATCTTGAGATTAGGAAAACTGTTGTCCTTATTTATTGAGAAATACTGTGGGTAATATATATTAAGAAAACTGTGGGTTTGAAACACAAAAATTCCAAACTAATCCTGAAAATCCATTCCTCTACCTAAACACCAATTTAGTTTCTCACCTATTTATACCCACACAATTCTAGTTACTTTGCAACATGGAAGTTAGAAAAAATATTTGAAGTTTGGGCTGTGGAGTTGTTTCAATTTCAAATTTTACTGTCTTAGAAAGTAGGAATGCTTGTGACATATTGGCTTGTTTTGTGCTGAAGACAGATTGTACTAGAGCCTAAAACCAAAATGGGGTTGGTTTTTTTGAAACCTCACTTAAAATTCCACTAGTAACAATGTTTCCACTTCATATATTCAACAATTTTATTTAATAGCCTAAGTTCAGAATAGTTACATAATAGTTACATCACGGCCTTTAAAAAGAATTGCACTCAGCTACTCAGTCCATTGAAATACTAGAAAACAGGGAAAAGGAAAATATGGAGTGAAAAGGATCTCTGTCCACTGAACTGAGTTGTTTGCAGCAAGTTCCTACTGAACCTGAAGATGTCCTCATGCCTTCTGGTAGACTCTAACACACTTGACGCCATTCATGTCACACTCCTAGAAGATAAAGAGATTCATTTATTAATTTGATTTACCTCTCAGTGCAGGCCAACAGGGAAAAAAGACACGTTAGGAGTTACATTTCAGGCTGCCAACCAGCAGCACTTGGGGGTCAGAAAGTGGGACTGAACTCACCACCACCAATTTTCCATCCACGAGCTTCCTTGTTATTGTGGTCTTCTTGCCATCCCATTCCTGCTCTTGAAGCAATGAGCCATCATCTTTTAAGCTGACAAGGGTCTGAAAGAAGAACCTGACCATCAGTATTTTCCCCATGACACTTGGGGAGCACTGAGGCTTTTCAACACTTTATTCCAAATTAAAGATTCCCACCCCAGCTCACTCAATAATAATTTTATCATTGACAACTACAAAGCCAGAAATTATGTTAAACATTTTATCAATCTTCTTCTTACAGTAACTAACTCACTGCTCATTCACTCACTGCTCTGACACATTTCTGCATCAGACAAATATTTGACGGCATCCACAATTTCAATTAACAGGAGCAGAAGGTGTTCCCTGTTCATCTCTTTGTTACATGGGCTTTGAGCTTTTGTGTAGCATTTATCTGATCTTGCAGGAATAGATGAACTGAGAGTGTGTGGCTGGAGGGAGGGGGGTGATAAACAGAGAGCACTCACAGGAGGAAATGAGATATAGTCTTTGCTTTTTCCCTGCTTTGGGATAAATATTCTCCCTTCTAGATGCAAGGAGAAAGTCTTTGCCTTCTAAAACTGGAGTTTAGTGCCTGTAATTCACACTGTTACCTTGCTGTCTGTGATCCCACCCCACACAGAACCAGGCTCTCTTGTTATGCAAATAAGAGACAGAGCAGCAAGGTTAACCCTAGGGCTGAATTGCCTCTGATTAAACATCAATGGCATTTTTTTCCACAGGCTTCAAATGAAGTGGCATTTGGCTCTAACAGGGATTTAGAGGTCTGTTAGTTTTACTAAAAAAATGCTTCTGCTACAAAATGAAAACAGCAAAATACACAAGACTATTGATTTCAGCACTCTCCCTCTTTGGAATGTGCTTAATCCATGTTAAAAAAAATATTTCAATGAGACTTAGAGAGACAACTGCTCATTGAATAAAGCACTGTTAGTGTGGATGCCAAAACTGATTTTAAAATAGCATCTCCCTCTATAAAACACCCAAAGAAATGCCTTTTTTCAACAGAAATTTAGTATACTGACCTGAGTTTTCCTGCCATCTAATGTGTTTTCCTCAAATTTCTCACCAAGCTTGAAGCTGAACTGTGAAGTTTTGAAGGTGCTTTCTGTTTTCATGGTGATTGTGTCCCCATCCTGAATAATGTAAACGTCTGGCTTGGCCATGCTTCCCATTTTTCTCATGGCCATACCCACACCTGCAAGGCACAGAGTGTCACAAAGTCAGTTAAACCCTGAGGCTTAGGGCCACACAAGAATTCAAATACCTAATTCCCATTTAATTAGGCACTTAAGCACACTTGAGAATCAAAGCTCAAGAGCCACAAAGAAAGAGGATGTTTTAAATTTTCCATAGATGAGGAAGGAAAAAAGCTTATTTGCAGTTACTCTTTTGTTTCCTCAGAGAGCATTTTGCCCTCTAGAGGATTTCTAGATATCCCAAAACTCAGCACTGATTTTTTTATCAAACAGAAATAAATAGCAAAAAGGAAAACAAATACAAATGCTTAAACTAAAATAAAATTATTATCTTCAAATTCTGAACACATTAAAAAGTCTACAAGTTATTTTTATTGACAGATTAGTCCACTTTATTCAAACTTAATAAATGCGCTTTCCTTAATTTGTACACCATTGCAAACATGCCATTTTTAATTAAATTCCATATTCTACATCCTGTTTACAAAGTATGGAGTTGTGAATCATAAAAAATAGTGCTTACACACATGCAAAAGACAGAGGAATGGAGAAATGAGCAATTTGCAAATGGCTGAAAATTCATGATCTGGAGACAGCAGCCCTCAAAACTCTTCAGATTCACCCTGCTTCAGCCCCCGCATGCACTGTTTGGGGGGTTTGCTTGAATCTTTTTGATCTGAAGGATGAAAATGCAAATAAGAGGGCAGCAAGCAAAAAACGTGACTCCATCAAACTGATAAGAGCATATCAGAACCATGAATTGATATGCAACCAAATGGGGCAGAAAGCATCACCAAGTCAGTGAGTGCCTGGGTTCTGCAACTGCTGTAGTTCCAGACACTGCTTCTCCAGACTCAAATGAGATTCCAGGATTGAGCCTTAAGCTTGAGTTCACAGAGAAAAAACAGTTATCCTCAGTGCAGCTTTCCTGATCAGAACTGGAAATTATTGCCACAGTAACCTCCACACACATTCTGTTGCGGTAGTCCAGGCCAGAGTAATCTGGGAGTTATTTCGTCAGCTACAGCTTGGGATCCAACTAAACAGAGATGAGCTGCATGTCTTCCATATGGCAAGAAGTGAAATTCCAACTTCTTTGTCCTCAAATGTTCTTTTGCACAGAATGAGCAGAATCTGCGTGGTGTCATTTGTGGTGTATCAATAGGATCAAAGGCAGAGAGTTTCACAGGCAGCCAGCAAGGGTGAAATCCAGTAAATGACTGGCTCCTAAAATGTGGCTTGGTATAAATTTAATTGCCTAAACCATAAATGTAAAATGGAAAAGTGACTGGGTTTATGATTTCAATCTAAAACCAAACGACAGTCTGGTGCTGCCTACACATGGGAGGTGCTCTGCATTTGCAGCACCTAATTTCTGCTTTGAAGTTGCAACTTGGCACACGCCTAGGTCTGGCCATTGGACATCAAGGCACCAAGGCATCCTAATCCATGGCTCAACCAAGCCAAGCTTAAAATCCTTGAATTTCCTCCAAAGTCTCCCAAAGAGTTCAGTCCACAAGGCTTTCTCATATCATGCTATCACATACTGACAAGCCTCCCAAAATGTAATTATAGCCACCACTGTCTGCAGAGCGTAAATGCAGTGATGCTTTTTGTATTTTATGTGAAGAATGCAAGACCTAAATTCCTTTTTCTCCCTCTCATGATAAGCCTACATCTTCTGCCTCTCGAGAAAATATCATGGCTTTCATCTGTGAATAAATTGCAGAAAATAATAGCTCCTTGGCCATATAGACACTGCCAGGTATCTATCACCTGTCAGCCAGGATGCTCACAGGAAAGTGGTAAATCAGAGCTTGCAGATGAGGCTCCTGGTCTGCTAGGTGTGTTCTTCATCCGATAACTTCACGTTACAAAATGTAGGGCAGCCTGGACGCAGGGATAACAAGCCAGGACCATCCCCCAGAGATAAAGGTGTGACTACCCGCAGAAGAAAGCAGGCAAACAGCCTCCGGCAGGGCAGCCGGTTACCCACAGCAGCGGATCCAGTTCGGCTTTCTCGGGAGGAGACACCCAAGGTGACTCGGCAGCCCCGGCTCGGCAGGTCTGTGTGCTGGCTCTGGGTGACCCAGCGGAGCCGCCGCCCTGGGGCAGCGCCGATCGCCCCGGGCAGCGCCGGCTCCCGCCCGGCATTAGCGCCGCGGGAGGGGCGGGCCGGCCTAATCGCAGCCGGGCTAATGCCGGCCCTGCGGAGGGAAGGGGCAGCGCTGCGCGGCGGGAAGGTGCCGGCACCTGCCTCACAGGCAGCGGCATTACCATGCAGAAAGGGTCGCTGACATCTTTGGGGCGCGGAGCCAGAGGCGGCGGCTCTCCCGCCGGGAAAGCTCTGCTGCCGGCCAGCGCTCCGTGCCCGGAGCCGAGAGGGCGCGGAGCCCCCGGCGCTGCATGCCGGAGATTCCCGGCGTCAGCCCCGCGGCCGCCGCCCACCCGCGGCTCTCGGCCGGGCCGCGTCCCACCCTCGGGCCCGGCTCCGGGACCGCGTTCCCCGCGGACCTTGGACAGAGCCTCGCCGGCCGGCAGCGGCAGCGCATCCCCGGGGCGGCATCCCGGCATCCATCCCTCCCTCTCGGGGGCGGGGAGCCGCCGGCTTCTTACCCAGCTCCTTCATGTACTCGTCGAAGCCCTCGCTGGAGATGAGGCACCATTTACCCAAAAACGCGTCGATGGCCATGGCGGCGGCACTGGAGCTGACGGCGTCCCTGTGGAAACGTGAAGGCAGGAGGACGGGCTGCAGCGCGGCCGCGGCCGCCTTTATAGCCGGGCGGGCAACATGTGCTGCCGGCAGAGCCAATGGGGCTCCCGCCGCGCCCCGGCCCCTTCCCCGCCGAGCCCCCGCCCGGAGAGTCCCGCCCGCGGCAACGGCGGCGGCAAGAGCGGGCACGCCGGGCACTGCCCGCCCTCCGCCCGCACACACGCTCACGCACACAGACTGACACAGACACACATACATACACACACTGACAGACACACACACAGACACACACACACACTGACAGACACACACACAGACACTGACAGACACACATACACACTGACAGACAGACACACACACGGACACAGACACACACACACACACACACACACACACACAGACACACACAGGCACACGCAGTCACATGCGGTCACACACAGACACACACAGACACACACACACAGACACACACACACAGACACACACAGGCACACGCAGTCACATGCAGTCACACACAGACACACACACACACAGACACACACACAGAGGCAGGCACGCTCACACACAGACTCACACAGGCACACACACGCAGTCACATGCAGACACACACACACAGGCAGGCACACTCACACGCAGACACACTTGCACACTCACACACACTCACATGCACAAATCGACACGCACACACAGGCACACTCACACGCAGACACACTCGCACACTCACACGTGCATTCACATGCACAAACAGACACGCACACACACAGAAAATGCACACTCACACTCCTACACACACAGACTCGCAGCCCCTCTTTGCACCCCAGCACGGGAACGCCCAGCACGGGGGGACACTGCCCGAGCTGTGGATGCTGTGGCCTCAGCGCTGCTTCGAACACAAACTGCGTCCGGTGTGGTGAAAGAGTCCAGCGTGCTGAGTGCTGGTACCCTGCGCTCCTAGCTGGACTCTGAATGCTAAATTACGCTGTTTATTACGTGTCATGGTTTTTTTGAAGGCTAATTCAAAAAATCATCATATGGCAGAGCAATAAGGCATCAGCATCCCAAAGCAGCTTATTGGGTTTGATTGCCAGCTTTCCCAACAACTCCCACTGGTACATCACATATTATTGAACTACAGCTACCCATAGTTACTGTGACCCAGGAACAGACCTTCTACATACACACTGTGGTCAGTTTAGCAAACAAAATCAATCAAAACACAGAATTAATGTGGGTGCTTACAGTACTCACAAAAAATCAAAGCCTGAATGCAACTTCATGTCTTAGCATAGGAAAAATGGAGGTATTATATCTTGATTTTAGTCCATTTTGAGCTGCAATTCCTACTTCTTAAAGGAAAACACTGCAGCTGCCTCAACTGTACACTGGCACAGCAGTGGCATCATAAAATATGTTGTTTCAACAGGCCCTGTGAGGTTTTGACTAATCTTTTGTCAAATTTTGTCAGGTGAGTGATTTACTGTCATATTCTGTGAGGAAGCTGCTATTATTAAGTCACAAAAAAAAATATTCCTGATTCCAATGTACCCCCAAAATTTGTTTCCAACATCAGGGTTATGCCAGTCTCTGCCTCTTTTGGCCTTGTGTCACACTGCATGAAAACCACAGCTACTTTCTGCTGTCTGGAAAAAGAGAAATGTGGATATACATCTGGTATCTCAAGGTTTTTTGGAATAACAGTTACTACACTTCTCTGTTAGTACTTTCATGAAGGAGTTTGAGATGGAGGTATCAAAACCATCAAAGCCAGAGAAGATAGCAAAGCAGGTTCTGTGCTGGCTCCAGCATTTCACAAAGGAGAGAGTGCCATAAAGTCAAACATTTTGGAGCAAGGAGGACCTTTTTCTTTATGCTTTGCTGTGATACAACTTCACACAGCAGCTAGAAGTTTCAAGACTTTGTAAAAAGTCAGATTTTTCATACACAAAATAAACAGATAATGTTTGAACTGATTTTTTTTTAATTTCCTCTATCCTTCCCTAACAAGTTGTCTTTAATTACTTTCTGCTTCTCTGACTATATGTTTACTTTTAATATGCAAACAACATTATAGCCTCTGCATAAGACAGCAAGTCACATTGCTTCTTTTTTGTGTTATTAAGTAGGTATATTGAAACACAGGACTTTCAACATTCTTCCACTTTTTTTTTTTTTTTTTTTTAAATTTAATTTTGTGTGTGTCTTGTGTAAGAGATTTCAGAGTAAATGTTAAATTAGGGTGATGTTTACTGACTAATTCATGATAGTTGAATCAACATGCCGTCCATGCTGCAGTTCTCCGGTTGCTTACAGAAAGGATAAATGAAAAGCCATTAGATTAGGGATCAAACAGAATCATCCTTCAGGAATTAGGAAGTCTTCAGTCTTGTAAAGCAGGGACAATTTCTAGAAATAGAAGTCCTGGCTTTACTCCATGTACACCAGCAAATAATTTTGGATCCACATTTCTGCAGTGCTGCCTGCAGATGGCTTACGATATGCAAATGGCAGTCAGGTATAAGTGCTGATAACACAGCAGAAGATGTAAAATCCACTATTTCCATCTAGTGGTGAGACAGTATTCCTGGATCTGAAGTACCTGAAGATCCAGTTACCCACCTGTGCTCAACATTGCTACAGTTTTGAATCCTCCCACAAGTCATTTGCTCTGATTTATTATCCTCACAAATTTGTCAGGTCTAGGCATGTAAATTCATACAAGACACAAGAAGAAAAGAGACTCTTATCTCTCTTTTCTGAAATGCAGATTGTTAGTATACAGTGAAAAAAAAACTCAATTCTTGCGAAGTTCTAATGTTTTGCAAATTACTCAATCCAGTGATATGGCTGTGGTATCATCAATGCGACATCTCAAAAGTTCTTTGGAACAGAATAATGCTGAAACTGTCCGTGTAGCAAATAAAGTATCTGTAGGGGCCAGAGATGTATCCTTCTGGGTAAGGTACAAATAGCTGTGCTACAAAATTTACATTGTTTCTTATCTTGACAGTGCAGTATATATTTGTCAAATACGGCTCCTTCTTTGGGAGGCAAACTAAAATGTTCAGACATCCAGAGGTGCTTGAGCCACAGGGATTCAATCCTGTAAATCTCAATTCCAGCCTGGTTTGAGGCTGACATCATAATCAGACCTTTTGTGTTTGTGTAGTCTCCTCTTTAGATATATGAGAAGAGAAGCAGCAAGTACATGCCACCTATGGACAGCACTGAATTCCTGTGCCATGTATTATTGTTTCGGTGCAGACAGAATAAATTCTCTGAAGTTTTGCTCATTTCCACAGTGAACTATATATTGTCCAAGAAAAGGAGCATCAATTTTACAATGAGAAGTGTAAATTTTTTCTGAGGAAATGAGCTGCACGGCAAGCACGGAGCCACATTTGGGAGCAACCACCACCTTGGCAGCTTGAGCCTAACCAGGGTGAATGCTTTCCTCAGGTAGTCAAACCCTTGCACCTTGTAGGACAGGAGGGTGTTACAGCTCTTCATTACCAAGTGCAAGGCAATGTGCACAGAGACCTTCATTCTACTCCTTGGGGCAGGGGCAGTGATGCTGCATCTGATGTGGGAGCTGTGGCCAGCAGTGCCTGAGGTTTCTCTTCACGTAGCCATAGATTCACCTCCTGCATGCAAGCTAAGCCATAATTTGTCTTTTGGAGTCACAATACCTGCTGCTTGGGCAGGGCAGAGCACCACCTCCTCCTCTGCAGCATATCACTAATCTGGTTCCATAGGAGGAGTAACTTTTTCCTTAGACCTTTACTCATTAAGCTGCCCATATGTTTAACTTGGGGGGAACCCAATCTGATAGAGCTATGCTCTACTGTGTAAGGGAGGATCTCACTTTCCTTCTAGAATATAGACATACTGTGTATATAGACCACCTTTTCTAAGTGGTAGTCTTCGTTTAGATAAGATAACCTCTTGAGAAAGCCTTAAAAAATTGTCAGGAAAACTGGACATCACTGCCAAAATTTTACTCTTCGGTCTATCCTTAGCTGTGGAAAAAAGTTAAAGCAGTCTATGAATAATAGCTACTCACCCCCAAGGCATGGATGGGAAAAATTGCATAGGTAGCAGAGTTTTGTTTCTGTTTCCTTGTTGTACAAGTGTGGTTTTCCCTTCCCAGCCGTGTCATCGCTGGGCAGGCATGATGAAACACGTGCTGCAGTTGCCGAGCTGGCCTAAGGAAGCTGTGCCACTCAAGAGAGGTTTGCTTGGGCAATACTAGGCCAGGGATTATGAAGCAACAACGCACAAACCTGCAAGTTTTCCTTTGTATGTCAACATGCACAAGATCTCCCGGCGTGTCAGCATTTCATTGCCTCTGAGCTGGAAGAGCTGGGCATAGCTTTGTTTCATCAATGAGCTTTGTGCAATACATCCGGGTTTGAGTCAAAACAAAGCCATATTGCTCTCCAGCATGGAGCGTGGGTCCAAAGAATCCTTGCTGTGGATCTGGAGACCGCTGTATCTGCCCTGAGTAGGCAGCCTGTCCTGGGGTGGGCAGGCTCACGTGTGCTGGCGCGGCGGTGCTGCTGGGGGACAGAGCATTACTGCATTACTCTAATGCAGTCCTGCATCACTATAATGCAATTAGCGCCCTGGCAGCCTGAGCCCGGCTCCTGCACGTTGTCAGCCGCACGTTCAGAGCAAGGTCAAAGGAAAATGCTTCTAGGGCAAAGTTTACTGTGGCAATGGTGTCACAGCTTACCGAGTGTAGCCTGCCTCAGTGATGAGAGAGAAAGCTCCAGAAGCCTGCAGTAACTTGGAAGAGGACTCCAGGACCCATTTTCCTGATTCTCGACAAAAAATGATTGGATGTCAGGTCCAGCCCAGGTCACAGTGACTGCAGATATGTGAGCTTGTCCCTAACTTCAGAAGCTTTGAAAAGTCCTTTTTATTTAGCAGCAGTATCTACTCTGAAGAGCAAACATCCACATACAAGAATAAAAATATTTTTATTTATCTTCAGAATTTTATAATCAGCATAGTCATTACAATGCTAAAAAAGATATTAGGGTGACTACAAATCTTCCATAGCTGTAGTTCTAGCACTGAAAAAGCCTTTGATCCACATAAAACAAAAGTTCATTAGCAGGAAATACCTGCTCACAGAAGAAACTTTCAGAAAACAAATGCTCTGGTATGGTTTTTAGAAACATCAGGTGTACAAAAAAAAATCATCCCAAATAATGTCTCTGTAAATAAAGACAAATAAAACTTCAACTTTGTCCTTTCTGTGC